ACCTGGCGATGCGGCGCAGGCGGGCGCTCTCCTCCCTCAGGTAGGAGCGGAGGCGGCGGAGGAGGCGGCCCTCGGAGCCAAGAGCCCTCCGGACGCTCAGCATGGCCGAGAAGGTCTCTGCCGGGGGGGTGCCCCGGATCCGCCACGCTGGCTGGGGGGGGGGCGGGGGGCTGCTGGTCCCGTCCTGCCTGGCTCCATCCTGACTGGCCCCCTCGTCTGTCCCCATCCCGTCCTTCCTGTCCCCAAATGTCTGTCCCCATCCTGCCTGTCCCCCGCTTGTGTGTCCCCATCCCATCCTCCCTGTCCCCAAATGTCTGTCCCCATCCTGTCTGTCCCCATCCTGCCTGTCCCCCTCTTGTCTGTCCCCATCCTGCCTGACCCTGTCCCCGTCCCCATCCTGTCCATCCCTGTCCCCATCCTGCCCTGTCCACCTCTTCTGTCCCCATCCATCCTATGCCCATCTTGTCTGTCCCCATCCTACTTGTCCCTGTCCCCATTCTACCCTGTCCCCCTCTCATCTGTCGCCATCGTCCCTGTCCCCGTCCCCATCCTGCCCTGTCTTGTCTGTCCCCATCCTGCCTGACCCTGTCCCCGTCCCCATCCTGTCCATCCCTGTCCCCATCCTGCCCTGTCCACCTCTTCTGTCCCCATCCATCCTATGCCCATCTTGTCTGTCCCCATCCTACTTGTCCCTGTCCCCATTCTACCCTGTCCCCCTCTCATCTGTCGCCATCGTCCCTGTCCCCGTCCCCATCCTGCCCTGTCCACCTCTTCTGGCCCCATCCTGTCCTGTCCCGTCCTGTCCTGTCCCCCTCTCCTCTGTCACCATCCTGCCTGTCCCTGTCCCCATTCTTCCCTGTCCCCATCCCCATCCTGTCTGTCCCCATCCTGCCTGCCTGTCCCCCTCTTCTCTGTCCCCATCCTGTCCCCCTCTCGTCTGTCACCTTCCTGCCTGTCCCTGTCCCCATCCCCATCTCGTCCTGTCCCCATCCTGCCCCAACTTCATCCTGACTGTCCCCATCTCATCCTGTCCCCATCCTGCCCTGTCCACCTCTTCTGGCCCTATCCATCCTGTCCCCATCTTGTCTGTCCCTATCCTGCATGTCCCCATCCTGCCTGTCCCCATCCTGCCTGTCCCCATCCTGCCTGTCCCCCTCTTGTCTGTCCCCATCCCATCCTTCCTCTCCCCAACTGCCTGCCCCCATCCCCATGCTGCCCTCTCCCCCAC